AAAAAAAAAAAAAAAAAAGAGGTGGTTCGGGCCCGGGGCTGCTCCGGGGAAAAAGGCCGGGGCTATGCCGGGGGCAGCTCAGAGGGGAGGGGGCTCAGGGGACACCCCAGGGCTGCCCCCCACCTACCCCGCAGGCCGCCGCCCCCATCGCGCCGCCGCCGGGGTCCTGCCGCCCCCTCCCCCGGCTGGGGAGCGGGGGGGGCCAGGGGCGCTGCCCCCCCCTCCTTTTCCCTGGGGGCTCCGGGACCCGCAGGATCGTCCCCCCGGTCCCGGGGGGGCTGCGGGGATCGGGGGGTCCCGGGTTGGGGGGGGGGGGCGTCCCCCGCCCCTCCCTTCCGGGACAGCGGAGCTCCGCCAATCAGCGCTGCGCGTCGGCATGACGTCACGATGATGTCATTCCCGCGGGAAAATCAAGCGTGGCGGGGATCGCCCCCCCCACCTCCCCTGCACACCCAAAAAAACCCACGAGAGCTCTTTGTACCAAAGGGGTTTATTCGCATGTAAATAAATGTGATCTCTGCAATATTTCCAAAAAAAGTCAAAATTCCACTTTCCACCCCAAAAAGCCGCCGCGGGAGCCGGGATTATTTACAATTCCAGCGCTTTTTCCAGCCCAGGGGTTTATGTACATTATGATCAGCGAGGAAAGAACCAGTTCCTTTTAATCTCCGCGTTGGCTTCACCACCTGAGATTAAAAGATTTGGCTCACGTTTTTATCATTGTCACTTCAATCTTTCCAAAATACTGAAAGATGTAAAAATCACCGAGAACAAGCAAAAATAGCTCAAAAATAAACCGTTTCTCGGAGCCCAGAGAGCCTCTGTGTGACCTCCCACCTCAGTCACCTCACAGGACTTGTCACTGGGAGGGGACAGGGCACCAAAACGGGGGGAAAAGCTGTAAATTTGGGACCTACACCTCTGGCAGCGGCCAGAGATGATGTTCCCTCTGTTCCCACCTTCCACAGGGGGGAATTTTGGATACTGAGCTTTGGTCTGGGTGAGGGGAAAGGAAACGTGCGCAGTTTGTTCCTTTAAAACACGTTTTTTGTGTCCGTTTTGCCGCTGGACGGGATTTCCTTCTAATTTTTAGTGTGTTTCCAAGCAGGAAAACACGGCTCCTGGGGGATTCCCAGCCCGGATTCCACTTGAGAGCTCTTCTTTGGGAAGGCTGGGAAGGGATCAAAGGGGGTTTTGTCATAAAAACAGGAGAGGGGCCAGGATCCCTCCCGGCGTCATTCCCAAAGCACAGTCTCCAGGTGAACTCCTCTGGGATTGTATTCCTTAACATCCTCCTCGTGGCGATCACATGATTCCAATGCTGTGTGGGATAATGGGATTTGCTCCAGGTCGGGATTTGTTTCCCATTTTCCTATCGTTCCAGCCCCTGGAGCGCTAGGGAGGGGGAGGCTGCAGTGCCCAGGATGAAGGATCAATATTGGATAACACAGGACGGGCAAGTTCTCCAGAGCTGCTGGGGCTTGGGATAAATTCAGCCCTGGAATTCAGCTGGAGGCAGGAAGAAGAGGTGAAAAATCCCTACAGTTAACGGGACAAAGACCTTGGCCTTTCCAAAGAGCTGGAAAAGAAGCAGCTTTCCTGGGGTATCCCTGGGGTGAGCCCAAGACGGGAAATCTCAGGGGTTTAAAGGGAACTCAAATCCTTGACACCTTTTCTTGCTGCAGCCCCAAAGGCGAAGCAGAACCTCGTTCCCACGGGGAAATCCCGGTCTCCAGGGACAGACAGCAAATTCCAAGGGGAGCAGGACCCCGCTCAGTCCACGATCCCAAAGGAGATGTGTTTGCAGAACTCCTGATTTCCCACATTCCTCTCCAGTGAATCAGATGGAACCGCTTTTAAAAAATAAAACCACTCCCCTGAGCCTCCTTTCCTTCCAGGGACCACAAGACAAGCCCGCAGAGGATTCCTGAGTCACGCTCCTCATTCCAGCCAGAAGGGAAAATCCATCTTTTAAGGGAATTGGTGCTTCTGCTGCAGCTCTTATCCCAGCTGAGCCACTCAGGGACTGCTCTCCAGGACACCACACCAATCCCTGTGTGTGTGACCACAATTCCCAGCTGAGCAGCACGAGGGGATTCCAAGGAAGCAGCACTCAGATGGAGATAGGAGTCCCTTTCCAACTGAGATCTGCTGGAATTCCACCGTGCCAGGACGTCACCACCATCACCGGGGCTGCCCAAATTCCCTCTGGGGAAAACAAGGAGCACAGGGCGTTCCCTGCGTGGAGCTGAATAAATAGCTAAAAGGAAAAGGGAAGTCAAAGCCAAAGCAGAAATCCTTCAGTGCTGTGACCTGGGATAAAATCCTGATCTCCAGGAGGACACAGAGACTGCCCTGAGCCGGGCACTGGATGAAGAAATGGAAATGAAATAAATTAAAATGCTTAATGGTTTTCCTTCTTCCAAATAAAACCCGACCCCCTAAAAACGTTTCCTAAAATAATTGCTTTAAAACTTCCTACATCCAAAAGGAACTTCTCTGGAATGGGAAGAGGGCAGGGGGACTGGGATGTCCCAGACCAGCCTATGTCTGTGCTGGTCCCCAGTTTGGGGGCTGCTCCCACATTCCCACACTCAGGGGGGGGCTCTGCCAGTGGGATGCTAACACTTGTAAATTCAGGATGAGCCCAAGTGCCTGCAGGTGCTGGCACTCACACCTTCTGGAAATACTTTTTTTTCCCCCCTCCCCAAACACGCACCCGTGGCGAGTTTGGGATGGATCCTTCCTTCCTTCCTTCCTTCCTTCCTTCCTTCCTTCCTTCCTTCCTTCCCCCCAGGACCCTGCAGACAGCTCCTCTCCGAGAACTAATTGCCAATTAGAGCCACGTCCATGAGATCATCGTCCTCCTCCCCGATGAGGAACTCGGGGCTGGCCCGGGACGGCCTCTCGGCCGCCAGGATGGCACTGCCGGCCATGGAGAGCGGCTGCTCCGCCGAGATCGGGGACTTGGACCAGCTCTCCGGCTTCATCCCGTGGGACTTCTTCTTGTCCCTGTCCTTGTCCCGCTCCCGCTCTCTGTCCCGGTCTTTGTCCTTCACTTTCTTCTTCTCCTTTTTGTGCTTCTTGTGCTTCTCGGCGCTGTACTCGGGCAGGGGCCGGACGCCGTCGTCGGAGCTGGGGCTGTTCTGGTAGGACTTCTCGGCGATGGAGGAGCCCGACTCGCTCTCGCTGTCGATGTTCTGGGGGGTGTAGGCCGGGGACTTGCTGTGGCTGGGGGAGCAGCGCTCGTGCTTGGGGGTGGACCCGCTGATCAGGGGGGAGCCGTAACTTTTGGAGGAGGCCATCTGGGGCCTGAGCCCGTCCCCGCCGCCCTCCCCGGGTTTCTGCAGGGTGACTTTGGCCTTGATGCTGGGGGAGCCGCCGTCGTGTTTGCTGATGATGATTTTGGCCACCCCGGTGCTCCCGACGCTTTTGGAATCCGAGTTCTTCTTGGAGGAGGAGTCGCCGGACCCTCCGGAGACGGAGACCTTGGATTTCTCCTTGTCGCTCTTCTCCCGTTTGCCCTGGAACTCCCCCCCAGACATGTTGTGTTTGGAGGACATGGCGTGGCCCGAGGAGTTGGAGCTGGGCCCCATCTGCCCGTCCATGGGGTCGTCCCCGCCGGGCCCACTGGTGACCACCCCGTGCTTCAGCTTGTCTATGACTGCAGTCAGGGAGGGCTTCTTGTTTCTGCTGGGAGACTTGCCCTTGGAACTTCCATGCTGGTTCTGCGAGGAGGACATGGAAGACCCGCTGGATGAGAAGGAAGAGGAAGATGCCGTGGAGGAATTTGATGAGGGAGGTGGTTTCTGTGACATGGACCCGGAGGATCCCATGCCTGAGGAGGATTTCATGCTCGAGCCTGAGCCAGTCCCGGACATGTGGGACCCACCAGAGCCCGAACTGATGGGGGACTTCGCTTTAGACGACGGGGGAGTGCCTGGGACGGGCTTCATGGGAGAGGCAAGTTTGTCAGACCCTCCCGAGGGCCGCGAGTGGGACGGGGAGATGTTGGGTTTGCTCATGGAAGGGTTCATGAGCGACGATGGCTTTCCTTGAGGTTTCATCTTGGCGCTGCCGGAGCCGGTGCTGAGGCCGTGCTTGGTGATGGGGGACGATCCCGGCTTTCCCACCGACTGGGCAGAGCCCTTGGACTGACCCGACCCGGAGCCACCCTGGCCCGAGTAGAGGCTGCTGCTCATCTTGGAGCCAGAAGACCCTTCTGATTTGCTTTTGATTTTGCCTGAGGTCGAAGAGGAGGAAGAGGAGGAGGAGGAAGAATGGCTGTGGTGGCTCTTGCTGCTGGAGGAGGTGACAGAACCACTACTGGTGTACTGGCCGTGCGACGATGGTTTGCCAACAGTCACCGTTCCTTTGGGGATCTGGATGGTTATTTTTGGAATGGGGGGAGTGGCCACCCCGGGAGGAGTCTGAGATCTGCCCGAGCTCCCTGGAGATTTGGACCCACCTGTGCTGGCTGGTGGTGTGAAGGGCCTGTTTGATGAACTGTGAGACGGAGATTTCCCATCTGTCTCCTGCTTCTTCCGCTTCGGGAGTTTCTCCTTACTCTTCCCATCACTGGACGGTGTCCGGCTGCGCTTCCCTGGCTTCCCGTCTATCCCTGCCCCTGCCATGGCACTTCCAGACCCATTGCCTTCCTTTACCCGTTTCTGAGACTTCTCCTTTCCCAGCTCCCCCGTGTTCAGCAGGGGGCTCTGACCCCCACTGTGGTGCTCCATGATGTCAGAGGAGCCCAGAGCTTTGCTGGCAGCTGCAATAATACTGAAATCCACCGTGTCCGATGGATTGCCCCCCTTAAATTTATTATCCCCCCCGTCAGCCCCCAGGACCTGCACCCCTAAGTTAGTCAGAGCCTGGGAGGCATAGCCCTTGAAATCATCAGTGTCTCCACTCTGACTGCTCTCATCAAAGTACTCCTCCCCAAAACCGCTCTGGCTCTGGCTGTTGAGCAAGTCGGGGTTGAAATCGACTCCGTCCGGGAAGAAATGGTTGGAGGAGTCACTGTTGGGGCTCACAGCGGCGTCAGCGATCAGGTCTGCGGGGTCAGTGTAGGGGTTCTCGCTGCTGTTGGCCTGAAACACATCGGGGTCAAAGAGGGCACTTTGGGAATGTCCTGAGCTGGAGGAGTCTCGGACCGGAGTCCCCATGGGCGGGCAGTCCTCGGTGCTGGGGGGCAGCTTGGAGGCCTCCTCCGCTATGTCCGAGAGGATGTCGGTGACGTCGGCCCCGATGCTGTCGGAGCTGGACAGACGGACCATCCTCTGGATGCTGGGCTGGGCGTGGGGCAGCGCCTGGGGGTAGGTGGCGGGGGGAGTGCTGCACTGGCTGGGGGCTGGAGTAATGTGGGGGGTGTCCAGGGTGTCTGCAGTCATGTTCACGTCAAAAATGGGGTTCTGGGAGTCAACGTCCATGGAGAAGAGCTCCCTCTGGAAATCATCCTCAGTCTGGTGCTTGGGCTTGTCGGCCGGCACGCGGGACTTTTTTTTCTTTTGCTTATTCCCCCCGGGGCCCATCTCCATCCGGGGGGAGCCAGAGGAAGAGTTCTGCCTTTCCAGGGGGCTGCTCCCATACAGGGTGGAGAAATCCTGAGGGGGATTCTCCTTAAGGAGGTTCATGAGCATGGGGTGGTTCTTGGTGTTGCTGGCAGGTGAGGATACTGGTGGTGGTGTGTGGTGGGGGGGGGTCGGACTTGAGCCAAGGGTTGACCCCACATTCCCTGTGATCTGCAACAAACTAGTGAGAATAGGGTTCTGAGACACTTTGCTGAAGTCCTCCCCATGGCCCACTGAGTCATGCCTCTCTTTCATGCTTATGCTCATGTTAAACAGAGTAGTGATGGGCCCCCCAGGAAAAGTGTTGGTTGGGGTGGTGGTCCCGCTCATTGGGTTGCTGCCTGTGGTCATGCCATACCCTGGGCTGCTGGCGGGGGGCAGGTTTTTCTTCACCATGTCTTCCACTGTCTCTGCAATGAGGGACAGGGCTGGGGTGTCAGCTTGAATGGTTTCTGCTTTCCTACGGATCGCCCTCATGGTCACGGGGATGGACATGCACCTGCAACACACAGCGAGGGGTCAGCAAAGGGCACTGCAGGGCTTTACACCCTCACCAGCTCCCAAACCACCACTGAGGGGTCTGCACAGGAGAGCAGCAGCTCCAGGGTTCCACAGTCCTCCTGTTCTGTTGGATTTACACTTATCCCACCAGGCTTACCCAGCCACCCGTGTGCCTTTATGCACCTCCTTGCAATCCCAGAGAAGCAATCAACTCCAACAACTCACAGCTGAGAGATCATCATCGTGTAGTTCACGAGCACAGGACGCAATCATAGACTCGTGGAATGGTTTGGGTCGGGAGGGACCTTAAAAGCCCATCCAGTTCCACCCCCTGCAACGGGCAGGGCCACCTTCCACTAGACCAGGGTGCCCAAAAGTCACCACATTCTACTCAGGGAGGACAAGAGCCCAGCTTACCTCTGAACAACTTTGGCAATGAAATCATCTGTGCAGATGAGGGCATCAGACAGCCCCTTGTACAGCTTACAGTTCACGTGGGTGGAGTCCTGCACATCCATCACCACTGGAAGAGAGAGTTTGGGAGAGAGATCAGAGCCCTGCACACATGGGGAAGGAGACCCTGGCCAGCCTTCCCAAAAAAAACCCCTCCTGCTGTCACTGAGCCCACTTACCACACACCAGGGAGTCGTTCACGGGGTGCTGGAAGGAGACACTGAAGCAGGAGTCGGAGAGAGGGCAAACCTCGAACTGCAGGATCCCGGGAGAATCTGAAAGATATGGGATCTGGTGACTGAGGGAACGTGGGAGATGAACCAGGGAAAAAAAAATAAGGCAAGCAGCTCAGACCTCGTTTTTTATTCCTACACTGGGGAAAAGTAGCCAGGGTTTATGATCCCCACCTCAGATCCCACTGGCTGTGGCACCCACCTTCCTTGAGGACCGTCCTCTTGACGCAGCTGCCGATGAGGGTGTTGTAGGCCACCTGGTGCCTGATGAGGTTGAGGATGAGGGGGACCCTGCCCGGGTGCTGGAAGGCGATTTTACTGATCAGAGTGCCCTGGAGGCTCCTTCCATCCGGGAGAGGGGCGTCCTTGTTCAGGAAGTAACAGTGCTGCTGTCCTGGAAGAGCCTGACACACAATTTGGGCGTTACTCCAAGTGGGTGGAAGGGGATGACGGACATTTAGAAGGCTGGCCGGGACCGCGCACTTACGGCGTAGAAACGCATGTTGTGGTTCAAGGGCAGGGGATCGGCCTCCTTGGAGAGTTCAAACTGCGTGATCAGCTCGTAGAGGGGAACAAACGTGGGTGGGGTGTCAAACAGCGGGATCCCTGAGGGGACAAGAGGGCACAGGGTGAGGGCAGGAGCCAGGAAGAGACGCCGGGAAGCCCGTCCAGGTTTTCCCGCAAATCCCCTGGCAGGTGTTAAAAATCAGCAGCATTTACTGACAGGAGCCAAGGGGACATCCCATCCGTGAAACCCCGGGGATGTGTCTGACGGGTCTGCAACCCACCTGTGCAGCTCTGGAGTTTCTGAATGAACGCTCGAGACACCGGGATGGGACGCGGGAACTTCAGGAAGAAACAGGCTGGTAAATCCACGCTGTTGGCGCTGGTGATGGAGGAGAAGGACGGGGTCCTGGGACATTTTGGGGAGGGAAAAGGTCAGATTAGGAACAGGGCACGGCTCTGGCTGCTGCTGTGGTTTGCTCAAAGACACATTAAAAACAAAGACACCGCTCCAAAGCACGTCAGAGTCCTGAAACAGGCGTTTCTTGGCTTAGAGACAGCACGTACATCATTTACATGATTGCAGCTGAGGATGGAGCGTTGGACCCCTGCCCTGCCCTTACCCTTTGCTGTCCACGGGGTGGGAGCCCATGATCAGCGGGGCAATGGGGAGCTTGTGCATGGTCATGGTGCCCTCGACTGTCACGGACACGTTCATACCCAGCGAGCGAGGAACTGCAGGGAAAGAGCCTGTTAAAACCACCACTGCAAGCTTTATACATTAAATACTTCATGAATTAAATCAACTCCCCAGCCCTGCAGGTGTCCAAGGCCAGGTTGGATGGGGCTTGGAGAAACCTGGTCTCTAGTGGAAGGTGGAATGGCAGGGCTTTAAGGTCCCCTCCAACCCAAACCCTTCTGCGTGATCCTGTGTTTCTATTCCAGTGACAAAATAAATCCTGAAATCACAGAATATCCTGAGTTGAAGGAGACCCATCAGGATCACTGAGCTCAACTCCTGGCCCTGCCCAGGACACCCCAAGGACCACACCCTGCATGATTCACTCTAAATATGGAAGTGAACTTTAGTGACTGAAGGAGAACCGGGATGGACCTGAGAGAGCAGAGAGCTCAGACACTGGCTGTGCAGTTTCAAGGGATTATTCTATTTTAAAATGAGATTCCCCCTAAGGACAAAGGCTCTGTCTGCAGACTGTCACCACAGCCACAAGGTTCAAGACAGCGGTGGCCTGGGCCAGCCTTTACACCCGGGCTCACCGAACCCGTGTCCTCAGTGAGCCAAGCTGTGACTTTCCCACATTCCAGGGTGCCAGTCCGGAGCTGTGCTCCCCCCTCCCCTCCCTCAGGCAGCAGGAGCCCACACCCCCACCTGCAGAGCTGACCCACCGTTGTTCTCGTGCAGGATCACGGGGGCTCCGCTGCCGTCCTCAAATAAATCGTAGGGGGACACGTAATATTTGAGGTTCATCAGGAGACCTGGGGGGACAGGAGCTTGTGGTCAGGCATCCTGACAATCAACCTGGTCACTGGCGACCCCCCAGGACCACACAAACACTCAATCCCCTGGTCCCCCTTTTTAGTTTGGTTGGTATTTTCTGTCTCTGCCCCCGGCTGGTGCGAAAGCAACGCCCGCAAAGGGGGCCCCCGAGGAATTAATTGTGATTAATTCATTTTTTTAAATGTCAGGCACAGGTACCTCCGCTCCTGGGGGTGAGATAACCAACACTGCCGTGGAGAATCTTGTCCAGGGGGTTGGCATTGGTGGCTTGCCTGCAAGACAGGAAATCAGTCCATAACAAGCCAAAACCTGCACGCTGAGTCCTAAATTTTAGCTCAAAATACACATTTTAGGGTCACAACGAGGGATTGATTCTAAACTTTACGCTGTTACAGGCAAAAGAAAAGCTACTTTGCTTTCTAGAGTGTGGCTGGTTTATCCACCAAACCTACAGCAGTGCAACACAGTCAGAAGTTTCCCAATTTCTTGGGAATCCATCCATTTACAAACTTTTTGCTTTGCCTTTTCGCCCCTCTTTCAATCGAATTCTGCAGCTAAAAAGGAGTTTCTCGGAGCCCTGAGCATTCATTTACACACATAAAACCATCCTCACCAATACATGCCAGCCATCTTCTGCAGATCCAACTCCAAGGACTGCAGAGCCAAGTACATTTTAGTTTTAAGTTTGCTGAGGAGAAAGAAGAAGAAGAAAAGCAGAACAACATAAGAAAACTTGAACTGTGCAGTGCAAGCCTACAGCTTGGAACTGCGTGGATATAATCAAATGTGGTCTGGGACTGTTTGATTTTAGATACGGGGATGTAAATGCATTCCAGACTCACTTCTCTCCTGGCAGCTTATACAGGTTCACGAGCCCCCTCAGATGTTTGGAAAACTCATCAAAATTTTTCTCCCTGAAAGGAAAAAGGGAGGGAAAGTTACCAAATTTGTAGGAGGTTAAGGGTTTCTTTTATAAAAATTGGTGTTAATGCAGACAAATCCCCTGGAGAAGGGGAGAGACTTTGTGGGGAAGGAGCAGTTACCAAACACTTTGTGTTTCCAGGCAGAAAATCAGAACACCACAGCAAAGAGAAACCTGTCACAAAACACAACCACCAAACCTCGTTACTCACCTCAGGTGCTGCACCAGTTCTGGGCAGCTCTGGAAAGGAAAGAACAAGGATGTCAGTGTGGGATGCAGTGATTTCAGGCTTTGTGCTGCACAGTAACTGGAAGATATCAGGAGAGTGAAATTCCTGAGCATCAGCTCTTCCTGAGGAACAACCCAATGCCTACACCCACACTTGGCTCTGGTTCTTGTTCCAGGCCAGTCTAATACCAAGCTCAAGTTCTCCTCCATGTGCAGAAAGGCAATAAAGCCATTTTCTTCCACCATTCAGTACTTTCTATTCCATTCATTCCCCTTTCCCTTCCTCAGAAACGCAGCGATAACTTCCACAACATTCTCAGGGTCACAAAAGGAACTTCCTCAAGTAACTTTTTCCAGCCACAAATCCACACGGTATATCAATCAGCTCACCCCACAGGAGTAAACTACTCCATGGAGGGCTTTACTTCCCACCAGGACGAGCAGCAAAGGTGTAACTCCAGCTCTTGGGGAACGTCAAACACAACCCATTTCCTCCGCTCAGACGGAAGGGAGGTAAATGGCAATCCCACCCTCTTTCCCAGGAATACCCACCACGGGGTTCTCTCCATGGTGGGCCACCTTGACATCACAGAGCAGCCCGGTGGGGTCCAGCTGCACTTCCACGTAGAACATGTCCGAGGTGATGTAGCACTCGGTGCCGTTGGCACTGAGGTGGGATCCCAGGCTTTGCAGAGAAAACAGAACAGACGTTGCTGTGAGGCGCACACACAGGCCCCAGGCCAAGCGGCAGCAGGGGCTGATGAGGGCAGGGAAGCAGGGAAGGAGCTCGGCCAGGAGCTCAAGGGACCCACCCGCTCTGCCTGGCGATGGACTCCAGGCGGTCTGTCATGGCAGGCAGGGATGAGACTGGGGAGAGAAGGAGAACAGGGCTCACTGGAGGGACCTGACATTCCCCAAGGAATAAACCAGCGATAAACCCAACCCCAGGCACTCAGTCCCTCCCCCATGCCTGCTCACTCCTTCCCAGCTATGGAGGATTTGAGCTCCAGCACAGGCAGAACCACCTGCACAGAGAGAGCAGAACCTTCCCAAACCGCAGAGAGAGAAGGGAACTTCTGCTGCAAGTGGAATCCAGGGATGGATTAAAAATTCCCTGGACCTTAAAACCCACCCAGTGCCACCCTCTGCCATGGGCAGGGACACCTTCCCCTATCCCAGGTCGCTCCAAGCCCCATCCAACCTGGCCTTGGACACTCCCAGGGCTGGGGCAGCCACAGCCAACCCTGCCTGGTGCCGCTGGCTCCGAGCTGGGTGTGCTGATGTCCATGTGAGCACCAGGACAGGTGCCAGCAGCACCCCTGCGTGTTTTCACGGAGCATTCCCACAGGGTTTCGCCAGCCAGAGGACGCACCAACCTTTCAGGGCCTTCTGCAGCGTCTCCAAGCAGCTCACCAGGTGCTGGTGCCCCCCTGAGTTCAGCACAACCCGCTTTTCCTTGGCCACAAAGAAGAAAAAAAAGGTCATTTCCGTGTATTCCTTGGGAAGTGGGAATTACTGCAACTCCTGTGCAGCCAAGGGAGGTTTATTTAGGTAACTGCCAGGAGGGAGTGGAACCTCGGGCAAAACAGAAACACCTTGAGGAGATATGAGAAGCCACCACAAAAAGAAAGGAGAGCCTGGGAATCCTCACCATGACCTGCCGGACCAGCTTCATGGTCTCTGTCCAGGGCCTGTTCTGGCTGTACTTGGCGTGGAGCCTCTCCAGGAGGGAGCTCATCTTGTTCAGCTTCTCCGCCTCTGGGGGACAGGGACGGTCAGGGAAGAGCACGAGGGTGGGACCCCCCCGAGGGTGGGACCCCCCCTCAAACTGGGTATTTCCGTGGGTATTTGGCACATTTGTACATATCGATGGAATCCCCTCTCGAATGGGGTATTTGCACGAGTATTTCATATATTTGTATATATTGATGGGGTCCTCTCTCAAGTGTGATATTTGTACGAGTGGCTGCCCTCTCACATAGGATATTTGTATGGACGTGGGTATGGGTTCACGGGGTCCCCTCTCCTCCTCCTCTTTCCTAACCAGCCCCGCTCAAAGAGAACCCCCAGACCCCTCACACTTTCACGACCCTCGCTCTCTGCGCCTTCCAGGGCGACACCTCAGCCCGCGGCTCCTCAAACCCAGCGCCTCGACCCCCGTTCCCACACTCGGGGCCCCTCGCGCCGCACTCACCCTCAGCGCCGCCCGGCGCCGCCTTCATGGCGGGGCGTTGGTGGCGGCGGCAGGGCCGGTGTGGCGGGGCCGGGGGGCCGTGCGCTGGCGGCGGCGGGGCCGGGCCGGGCCGGGCCGCCCTGGCCCTCCCTCACACGGCCGCGGCCGCCATGGCTGCTGTGCCCGCGGCTGCGCCCCTCCCGCCCTCCGGAGATCTCGCGAGACTTCCGCCGCTGCT